ATTTGCATGCATGAAGTATATTGGAAAAATAACATTCCATGCATTTTTTTCTGGTACTATTGCTGATCTTCTAACTTTTAAAATTTGGTTAAAGTCATGTATAACATAACACAAATATAAAATAAATCTATTGGTAACTGAATATTTTTGCACTTCGTGTTAAAGTTTGAATTTTGTTTTCAAAAGAATTGAAGAAAAGGTACAAACTTAAAACTACCTAAACCTTTGTTCCTATGTGTTTTAAAAATTCAATTTAAGTTTAAATAAAAGAGGTAAGGGTCATAGCCTATCAGAACATTAGAAGATAAAGTCTGTTATCCTGATTTTTAAAAATCATACATATAAAAATGTATTTGAAGTGGAGTGAAACCTGTTCTGTTACTAAAAGATGTTGTTAATGCTCAGATTACATTGCTAGATAAGAAGAAAAGAAGATATAGAAAAGTCTACATATCTTCCTGTATCCAATCTCCCTTATCACTTTAAGTTTGCATTTTTAAACATCTGAAAGCAAAATAATCTTTAAAAATGCAAAAGTAGCCCAGCTGGTATGGCTCAGTGGTTGAACATTGACTTATGAACCAGGAGGTCACAGTTCGATTCCCAGTCAGTGCATATACTGGGTTGTGGCTCGATCCCCAATGTGGGGCGTGTAGGGGGCAGCTGATCAATGATACTCTCTCATCATTGATGTTTCTATCTCTCTCTACCTCTTCCTGCCTCTCTGAAATCAATAAAAAAATATTTTAAAAAATGCAAAAGTATTTTCCTCCATTAAAAAAGCCCTGGCTGTGTGTTCAGTGGTTAGACGTAAGCCTGTGATTCACAGTCAAGGGCATGCACCTGGGTTGCAGGTTCAATCCTCAGCCCTAGTTGGGCTCATGCAAGAGGCAACCAATCTATGTGTCTCTCTCACATTGATTTTCTCTTTCTCCTCCTCTCCCTTTTCGCCTCCCTTCCACTCTAACAAAACAGACAAGCACACAAAAAAAGCCCTGTTTAGCCCAACTTGAACTTGTGGTGGCCCACCCTGCCCAGCATGAGCCCTCCAGGAGATCAGAGCAGAATCCCAGACTGACTCTAAGACAGGGGCTATTTTTTCCTCATATACCCAGCCAGATCATAGCCCTCCCTTCACGTGGCCAAAGCTTGGTCTGTCTGGGCCTGATAAACTCTGCAGGCCTCACCCTGACTCCCTGAAGCCCTTCCCACCACAAAGATAACCCTCCTTCCTGCATGTCACAGTTAACTCACAAACTTAAACCCTTCCGACGCCCATTTCCACAAGCAAACTTCAGGTCTTTTTCAAGGTAAAGTCCCATATTTTTTATAGAATTAAGAACTTCTCAATCACCTAACAGGTGTAAAACTGCACTACTCTTGTCCTGGCTGGTTCGATTCCAGTCAAGGGCACATGCCCAAGTTTCGGGCTCAATTCCCAGTAGGGGGCGTACACGAGGCAGCTAATCAACGATTTTCTCTCATCATTGATGTTTCTATCTCTCTCCCTTCATCTCTGAAATCAGTAAAAATATTAAAAAACAAACAAACCTGCACTATTCTTTTTAGTATGCTTCTATTTATTTTTACCTGTCACTGACAAAGTGTTTGAATGTTTTGCCCTAGTCCCATTTTTTTTGCTTAAGACTTATGATGATTATTGCATGATTTCATGTGGCAATGGTGATGAAAACAAACAAACACCAAAATAAAAGCAAACAAAACAAACAACAAAAACCCTGTTTAGAGATTGCTTTCAGGGCCAATTTATAAGCCCCCCCCCCCGCAAGTAAATCAATTTTCCTAGTTTATATATATTCCCTTAATCTTTGCCTTCCTCACTTCCCTACCCCCTCATCCAATTGACTAGATGATCACAGTTTATCCTTTTTTTTTGTTTTTAATAGACTTGACTATTTCTAAAAAAAAATTTAAATTTATTCTTCAAAGGCCAATAATTTTCAACCTGTGAAGACGGAAAGTAAACTTCAGGAGGGAATTAAAAAAGAGGAATTTAGAGACGTTCCAAATAAAGGCTATGTTATCAGAACTAAAATCTTACCTTCAGGGTGACTACAGGAGGTCACATAGTCAAGACGGACTCACTACAGTTTTACCCAGACTTCTAAAGAATGCAGAATTGTTGCTACGTTAACTGGTTTGGAACATAGAAAGAACATCACATACCATCGAGTTGATTTTATTATTTGCATTTGGGTTTGGTCTTAAACCTGGTAAACCAATAGGTAAATATATCTGCTAATAACCCAGCCTAGATCATCAATGATGAACTGGGTTACTGACATTGTCTGATGAATGGCTGATGCATTTGTAGTGAACTCGTATTGCTTCCTAGGGGTCCCTGCCGTCTTTTCTATGCTCAACAATCTGCCTACACCCTTCCGGAGTTTTATGTTAGACTTACTTTTTTTTTTTTAGGCTCAAAACATTTCTCTATTTAGTAAATCAGAACATATGCTTGTTTCTAGAGTTCAAACACCTCTTCTCAACTATAATGTCTCAAAATGTCCCAGAAGACCATAAGCTGTGCCTGTGTTTCTTGTATGTTATGGGATGCATGTGGGTCTAGAGATTTAAAGTGTGGACGAAAGGGGCCACATGCTAACCTGACAAGTTCAGGGAAGGCCTGCACGGAGGTCTTGCAAACCAGCGACCTAAAATAGCCACAAAGAATGGTCTGAAATCAAACTTTAACTAAAGAAGTTATGGTGGGTAGTTACATCCTAGGCCGGTATCTTCACTGACAAGGTCAACTTTTACCTTAACTGAGCCTATCTGTCTTTTTGCATCTATGATGACATATCCTTGAAATGTCTGGGTAACTTGTAACTTCCCTTTTTCCGGACCCCTCTCTAATCTATCACCAGTGGATTTCATGTAACCCACCTATGTCCCCTCCTTTGATTGCAATGTATAAAAATAGATGAAAACCTGCCATGCTCTGGAGCATTATCACCAGAGAATTGTCAACAGTTTGGCTCAAATAAACTCACAAAAATTCTTTATAGGTTTCAGTGTTTTTATGTTAACAAAGTTATGCAGAGCAATTAAGGGCACTCTTTCTTCCTGCTCACATATCGTGAGTCACAGTTCTCTACTGTTGTGGTTTGTCTGACTCTTTGAGTTCCTAGTATGCTTCCATTTTCACCAGAAGAAAATGGAAATCAAGTTGAAGTTGAATATAAAAGGTCAGAACTAGAAAAGTTATTAGATCAAGTCTAGATAAAGAAACTGTGAGGGATTTTATCTGTCTTGTTCCTTATGGAGACAAGTGTGTTGGGCTATATTTCTTGCTTTTTTTTCCCTTATGACCTTTTTTTGTTGAAAGTATTACATATGTCCCTCTTTTTCCCCGTTGACCCCTTCTAGCCTGCCCCCATCCCTTGCCCCAGGCCTCCATCACCCTATTGTCTGTGTCCTTGGGTTGTGCATATATGCATACAAGTTCTTTGGTTGATCTCTTCCCACCCACGCACTTTCTCCCTGGCCCCTTCTCTCCCCTCAGATTGCGCAGTCTGTTCTACGCTTCTATGTCTCTGGATCTATTTTGTTCATTAGATTTTGGGGCTATATTTCAAAGCTAATGCTATTGAATACTGGACTCATGTTAATTCCCCTTGTTCTGAGTCTATGCTTATGATAATAATTAGGCTTTCTGTGTAGATTTGTCTATAAGTGAAGAATGTATTTATCAGAGGATCCAAGCTCCTGGTTATAAGTTAATAAATGTGTTAGTGGGTATGAGAGAGAGAGAGAGAGAGAGAGAGAGTATGAGAGAGAGAGAGAGAGAGAGAGAGAGAGAGAGAGAGAGAGAGAGAAAGGAGGAAGGAAGGAAGGAAGGAAGGAAGGAAGGAAGGAAGGAAGGAAGGAAGGATGGAATCCACTCTGACCATGCTGCTAAATCAGGTTCCAGAGGTGAAGCCTCAGGAACATGGAAATCACACCAGGACACTTGAGACCTCTCTGGGCAACTAGCAACCCCTTTAGCATGGGATACTTTGATTCCATCCTGTAGCTAGTTGCCCACAAATATCCACTCTGTGCAGACAGTCCACCTCTTGGTTTGCAAGGCTAGAAATAAATACAGCTACTTCTCCGAGACACAGTTACTCACCACAATAGTTCCTTTCTTCCCAAGAGCAAAAGCTGGAATTCTCCCACCTATTAACAGCTGTGAATCTTTTGAAATGCTCCATGGAACAAAGACTGTTGTTTGTCTTTAGACATATGACGTGAACATTCATTTTACAGACATACAGTGAAATATGCAGTTGTGTGGAAAGCTTCAGGACTAAAGAAAGATTACAACAAATCCCCTTTCAAACCTTTTAGAGATTCTTCAAATGATGGTATCTAATTTGAGAATTTGATACATGTTCCAAGGACTGAATTGTGAATCTTTATAACAAGTAGGAAAAAGGATTGGAAATGGCTAAAAGCTCTAACACCTATGTTTTTTATAAAATGCTTACAAAATATAATTATTGAAAAATACTATTTGGAAGTATAGGATGATTAAGGAAGCCTCTGAAAGTAAAGTTGCTTGGCAATTTTGAGTTACTTTCCAACTAAAAACTCTGGTTAGAGGACTTTAAAATGGTTTTGCATTTGTGTTTAAAAAGTATGCATCTCTATCCAATTCGACAGCTTAAGTACCAGGCTCTAGCAAGATAAAAATCTATGGCAACGAAGGCAGTGCTTCTTAAATAAGTGCAAATTGAACCTGGCATCCCAAATCACTACCATCTCCTCTGGCAAGACTAGAGATTAGCACTAACTCTCCCCTGATGAGGAGGTCACCTCAGGCTTGAAACAGCCAGTTTGGATTACCTAGCAAGTTCAGGGTAGAATCAGAGGAGGACACCAGAACTCTGTTCTTTAGCCAGCCCCGTAAAGAATGGAGAATCTTGTCGGGGCGATGTAGTCAGCAGTTGGAGACATTTCAGAAGAAAGCATGACTCGTTTCTTTGTCTCTGTAGGCCCGTTCAAAATGACCGAGCAAACACCTGCCCTCGCTGACCTCTAAAGGTGAGTTACTGTTAACGTTTTTATTTGTTCTTGCTTGACATCTCCTCTTTGTTTCATTAAGTTACCCGACTTTGGTTCCGCTTTGGGCCCGTTGGAATTGGTGTTTGAAATTGTTCTCTGTTCCTTTACATCCTGGATTTTCCTAACAGACTCCAGTTTGGTTTCTTCTGTTGGCTTTCTATGCTCTGGGCTGTTCTAGTTTTTGTCCATTTGAAGCTAAGGACCAGGACAATCCACTTGGCTGGCTGGGGGGTATTCTCTGTGTTTGCAAGGGTATATGTGAGTGTATGGGGGTAGGGGGAGGGTATATTCGCAATTTGGATAATCACTCACTAAAATGAGAGAGGGAGGGAGATATCTAAATAGAAACAAGGGGAGTGGGGAAGAAATGCATTTGCTACTCCTTATTAACCATCTTGAGGTTCAAGATAAATTCTTAATTAGTTGTTTACTTTCCTGCCAAGAATTTTATCTCAGCTCTCAGATTTTGCTGCCACCTGGTGCTAAAATGTTCCTGGTAGTGAGGACTATATAGTTTGACAAACTCCAGAAAATATGACCTAAATTCAGAAATAGCATGAATTAGGACACTGGATGGTTAGTGCAACAAATAAAAGATATAACATTAAAAAATAAAACTTGACTGGGGGGGGGGCAGGAAGAGATTAACCAATAAATTTATATGCAGATATGAATAGCCCATAGACAGACAATAGTGTGGGGAAGGCCTGGGTTGGAGATGGGAGTAGGGGGAGGCTTAAAAAATAAATAAGTAAAACTGACTTAATATAATAAAAAATGAGTGTGGCATACCTGTGATAAGTTTATAAGTAATAATAGTAAATTGCTCTATACTTCTGAGATATCACCATCAAGTGGGAATGATATGTAAGAGATCAGCTCAAGCAGGTCCTGAAGACATAAATAAATTTCATTAATAAGTGGCTCATATTACCATAAAGGCTGTTGCTGCTACATGGGGTCTCCTCTTTCAATCTGCCTCTGGTCTCATGGGGAAATCTTTATGATCATCTGATTAAGGAAGAAAAAAATCAGTCAGGTATTTCCACCAAAAATATTGGCAGAACTGAAGTTGGATACCTACCCTACTGCATTACACCTCCACTGAAGTGTGGCCATGAATGACAATGTGAAAGAGAAATTTTCGCAGTGGGCCAAACTACAACCATTGCACCGGGTTAGTTCATTAGCCTAGAAGGAGAAATGGCCAAAGGTATGGATTACATTAATTTATGAGCAATGACTAAGGGTTTGGTTGATTGGTTATGGATTTGGAAGGAAGATGATTAGAAAATTGGAGGAAATGAAATATGGAGAAGAGATATGAGGATAGTCCCCTCTGAATATTATAATACTGCTGTGCCAGGTGAATGCTCACCAAGAGCAATCTTACCAGAGAAGGATCTTATTAATCAGGTAGACAAGATGACCATGGCCCCTTTATATATGAGTGGATTGGGCAAGGACAGGAGTGATGGTGAAAGAGGCTGACTGAATCTACAAAACAGGTCATCTTGTCTACATGGACTTCCTCTCATTAAAGCTACCGCTGAGTCCCCAACTGCTAATAGTGAAGATCAACACCGACTGGGGATATGACACTGCTTTTCAGGCCGCCTGGCATCAGGCTGGTTACATTGGGCCATTTCCACCACGGAAGTGAAAGGGCATTGTTTTCACTAGAACAGATACTTTTTTGGAAAGAGATTTGCCTTTCCTTCCCATGGTGTTTCTTTCAACCACCCCTCCCCCATCTATAGACTTACAGAATGGTTTATTCATCATCATGGTATCCATAGTCTCTCTCTTTTTTAAACTACAGAACTTATTTTGCAGATAATGAGTGGTGAAGTACTAGTTTTCCCATCACCTGGAAGTAGCTGACCTGCTTGAATTATGTCGTAGCCTCTTGAAGACACAGTTTAGTGCCAGGTGGATGGCAAAATTTTGCCCTTTAGAATGGACAAAGTAGACTTTGTGTATCCTTTTATTAGATTTTTGTGTATTTTCAGTTGTACCAGTATAGACAGTTGAATTTTGTTATACAAAAGCATGGTCTTGTTGGTGTTTTCATTTGGAAGTTATATATGTCTACAGAAGTGTGTGTAGATACCAAGTTGACAAGGGGTGGGCTGTGTTGGATTGTGCTATGCGAACTTGGATGAACTGAGAACCACATTTCCTAGAATTTCATTTTTGTACGATTCTGAGTTAGAGTCAGTCAACAAAGAGACTTGTTCTACATTTGAAAGACAGAAGTAAAAGTAGTGACCAGGTATGGTCTTGGACAGATACAGCGCTGCCTAGCAGGTTCATTTTATCTTTTCCCATTAGCATTTAAACATGTCTTTCCTCTCTTCAAAAATCGTTCACTGGACTTCATTTCCCTTTCCATACTACCCTCTATTCTTTTCTGCTGTGTCTATTTTCACCTTCTCCTCCATCCTCTGCTGCTGGTTTCTGTCAGATCCTTCTCCCTGAAACTGTTCTTACTGCTCTTCTCCTGATGCTCATTTTTTCTGGATTTCTGTTACTGCTATATGCTGATGGTGTTCAAGAATTTGCCTTCTCTGAGTTTCATACCTGTGTATCCAATGGTCTACTCAACACTGCCACCTGGATGATAGACAGGTATCTACAACTAGGCATGTCCATAATTAAACTCATCCTATTTTACCTCAACACTATACCTCCTGCATATCTCAGTAAATAGCATCACCATCCACTCAGGTGTCCAAGCCAGAAACCTGGTTTGAAAGTTTCCCACTTTTCTTCTTCCCACTGTCACTCTTACTATTTAGATTTTCTTTATCTCTTGCCTGGATTACTGCAACAGTCTAACTCCTGAAGACTCAATTACGTAATACAACTAGAATGTGCCATAAAAGCGCTATGGTTTATCTTCAGTGTAGACCCTGAGAATATGGGACAATAAATCCACTTTATGTGAGAAGTTGCAGCCAATATTGGATAGCCTAAAGTGAACAAAAGGGAAACACACTTGCACAACAGTGGACATTTTTTAGTTTGTTAGACCTGGTTACAATGCTATTCATCACACAGATACTTACTGATTTCCTGGCATGAGCTGAGAACTGTGCCTGCAGGAGGCACTTCCAAGGCATTGACTCATTGTGTACTTTTTGGGTCCAACATTAAGGTTCCTGTTCTTAAGGGGCTCTCAACTTTCTTCAGTCACTACCCATGTCGAATGGTCTCTCAGATGGTCCTATCTAATGTTGAGTTCCTCCCATGGACAGTGTTGCAGTGAAATTCCTTCCATGGCCCATGATTTTCAGAGAATAAATGAAGTGCAGGGGGAAAGAAAAAGTCAATCTAGAGCTATATGTAGACTGTTGTCTAGATGCAAAACTTGTTTTTTGATGGCACATAGGGACCACCTCTTTAGGACTCGAATTAAATTGCAAGCAATCTCAGTATTGAATTCAGCCTTGTGTTCAGCCCATTCCTAGAACCTCTGGCTCAATTATGAGAAGAAAACTTATTTATTCTGGGACATCACTACTTTGGTATAAATTCCTGGAAGCCAACAGAAAAGCAAAGGGAAGATCGTTCTCAGAGTCTCTTCTCTGGATTTCTGAGAAAGAAGTGTTTCATGTTTGGGCTGTCAGGTTGCTTTTGGTATCAGCTCACAGACTTATCCCTCTTGTTGAGCTTTGGTCTCCCTGTCCATCCTGAGGCTGAGGTCTCCTATAGGGGAGTAAGTCCATCTTTCTTGTGTCTTTCTCAGATATCATCTTTCTCTGAGCACATTCTTCATGCTATTAGTTATAAAATATTAAACATAATAATACTTATATAGTAATTTACATTTTGCAAAACTCTTTTCATGGATTTTAGTTAATTTAATCCTAATAGCAAGAGGTGTGAGGATCCTGAGGCTCAGAGAAGAGTAACTAGCTCTCAGGTGACACAAAGAACCCAGATATTCTAACTGGCATCCTGTTCCCACCACCACCACCAC